CTCCCTCTACCCCAGCCCCCCAAGTCCCCCAGCCCCTTTCTTCCCCTGGCCCTCCTCTCCCCCAACCCCTCTCTCCCCCTGGCTCTCCTCTCCCCCAGGCCTCCCAGTCCCAAGTGCACCTACCCTCTGTTGTCCAGCCAACGGACAGTCGCCCCATCCGATCCCATGGCCATGGTGGACCCTGAACACGAGGCAGAAGCAGGAGACTGCGAGCAGGCAAGCACCGTGCAACCTGATCCCCTTCCCCCCTCCAGGTTTCAAACACCCCCATCACCCCAGTTAAATAACAAGCATTGTGTTAAAGAAAATGTTTATTGTACATAGTTTGTCATGACAGTATATTTTCTCCATCAAAAATCAACAAAAGCTTTTTTATGTTTGCAACAGTTATACATTATTTCAGTTACTGATATTTATAACAATAAAGCAGAACTTATTCTTTTGAGACAAACCCTGGTGTTTATTATTTCTACAAACAGGGTCAGGATAAGGGTTGAGGAGGGAAGCTTATATTGGGCCAGGGCCAAGCTCCCAGACAGGAGCCCCTCAGGAGCGTCAGTGGCCTCCAATAGAGAATTGCTCCTGTAGAGCCTCCCGGATGCGAACAGCAGACTGGTGAGCCTGGCGGATGGCAGCTGTCCGGGGCTGGGCAAAGTGCCTCTCCTGACCATCAGCACCTGTACCCAGCCCTGGTAGGAAGGCGCCCCTTTCCTTTCCACCAGGTTATGGAGAACGCAACACGCGGCCACCACCTCAGGGATGTTGCTCTCCCCCATGTCTAGGCATGTGAGCAACATCCAGGTGGCCGGTGTAGGGCTTCATCAGCCACGGCATCAGGGGTTAGGCGGCATCAGCCACTATGCACACTGGCATGTGCACGTCCCCAACCGCAAAGTCACGATGCGGGAAAAATGTTCCTGCCTGAAGCCTCCAGTAGAGGTACGAGTTCCTGAAGATGGAGGCTTCATGTGCCCGCCCTGACCACCCAACGCAAATGTCAGTAAACTGGCCATGATGGTCGACCAGGGCCTGGAGGACCATTGAAAAGTAGCCCTTTCTGTTAATGAATTGGGCTGCTCGATGGGGCAGTGCACAGATTGGAATGTGTGTTCCATTGAGTTCTCCTCCACAATTTGGGAAGCCAAGGGCAGCAAAACCGGCCATGACGCTATCCAGGTGTGCTAGACGGATGAGCCTGTTCAGCAGCTCACAACTGATGGCCCTCACCACCTGCAGAAAGAGACAGACAACAAAATTTTAGAAGGGGTGCCTTACCTCTTAGGAGGAGACCCCACCACCCACTTTCCCCCTCAAACACCCCAGGAATCCCCTCCTCAGAACTTCCTCCCTCCCCCCCCCCACAGCTCAGGGTAAGTGGAGGAGCTCCTTCCCACTCCCACTGCCATTCCATCTTGCCCTTTCCTGACAGTCTCCCTTCCCCCCACCAAACTGTG